GTTAATTCATATTATTCGAGTTTTATATAAGTTGTTCGCCTTGGTAGTTTCTTTTTAGTTTAGATTTACGTTTTTAAAATAAGACATCTTCATAAATTTTAGAAAAAGCTTCTTTTTCTTCATGGATACTGTATATCAGTCATTGATAATTATGCAGTACGGTATATGAGAGTATATTCAAAATGATAGACATTGACTATTTTTGAAAATTTTACAATATCAAGAATTCGTAATTACGAAAGATCAGTCGACCAGTGTCAATCATTTTTAGTATATTGAAATGAACTTTCACCAATTTAACAATTAAAATTTGAGTATTTCGAGTATAATCTGACGTATAACATATATAAAAATTATGAGAAAACTTTTGATGATACTATAATTCTTTAAAAGTGTTTCAGTACAAACACATTTGAACTTCTTTTTACAGTTGACATACAATAGCTAAAGAGGTTAGACTATATGAAAGTCGAATGATGAATCATATAATGAATAAAAAGTATCCTCAATTAGGTTCATATTCGAAAATTCATGACCTGTCATGTCGTGTCATTGTTGAATTAATTTTGTATCCACTGTTATATTTTACTTTGAGGACAATATGAAAGCTAAGCGCTTTTTTCAACCTATTATTGATAATTTGAACCAACTGCAAGTTAATGGTCTCTGTGTCAATGGTAACAATCTGAAATTTTCGTTTTCTACAATGGTCGCTGACAATCTAGCAGCACATATGATAGGTGGTTTTCAATCATCCTTTAGTACTGGATACTTCTGTCGTAGATGTTTAATCAATTATGATGATAGAAGTTTACCAATCTTATTGAACAACGTTAATACCAGAACTACTATTGATCATGATATGTTTGTTACAGAATTGATTCGTCAACCAGATAAATCGCCGTTGATGGGTGTTACCGGTCCAAGTATACTTCAAAATTTGATTGGGTTCCATCCGATCATGTCATTACCAGGTGATGTAATGCACGATTTCATAGAAGGTGTTTGTCCAATGATAATAATGGCGATGCTGAAACAAGCATCAACGATGCGTCTTAGGACTTATGGTGAGATAGAATATTTCCATATGTTAAATCGAATGCGAACGCCAATTAAAATAGTTTTGCGAGTGTATTAAAACATACTGAAATTAGTACAATTCGTATTTTTTCTGTAATTAAGCAATTGTAATATTTTTCATGGGTTGAAATCGAAATGGTTATATGCAATTTATGTGTTTCAATATGAATGAACCTTGCATGTTGCTTTTAGATTTCATAAACGAGTTGTAATTATGTTTAACAAAAATTGTATAACAATAAAAATAGCTGTTCCTTTTGTTAAACTATTAGCCAGACAATCCTGCATGTAGATAAATCAAGTATTAGAGTACTTTCACTTATACAACGATTTCAACTTCATGTTTCAAAAATTATTCAGTTCATTAGACGGTTCATATCATTAGATTTTATGTGAAACGCAGTAAAGGATATTATTCTTAGAGTATACGGCATGTTTTAAGAAAATAATGCGAGTGACAAAAGGACTCATTAATGTTGGTCACTTTCGAATAATAATAAGAGAATGATATTTTGTTGATATGTTCGCATAATAATATATAATAAATGAAGCTATAGCAATATATGTTTCTAGTCCATTGAAATTTTTTAGACTAATCCATTTCTTTATAAGATATTAATATGCGAAAAGAGAAGTTATAAATACCACTTCAGTTGAGTCTATTCGAATTATTAGCACTGGATTGTATTATTTCGTTGTTTTTTATACTTCAGCCAACATTAGACAGCGAATGGAAAGTTTTCAATATGGATATTTTGACAAACATAATCGACCTCCACCTATACAAGCGAAACACATGCAAAAAGGGCACATTGCTGCTACTGCTGCTCAGAAACTTTGTCTCTTCCGCTTGTTTCCTATTATGTTCAACGATCTTATCAATGATATACCATCATTCATTGTTTATAAACAATTACGTGATATGTTGGACTTGGTTTTATCTGTACCATTTAGAAAAGAATGGATACCTGTATTACGAGATTTATGTATTGCATTTCAAGAGTCCATTATTTTACATTTTCCGACAAAAACGACACCGAAGATTCATTTTGTATGTGAATATGACCAAATGGTAAACGATTTTGGTCCATCCATAAGACAATGGTGTTTTCGATATGAAGGATGTCACGCTTATTTTAAGAAGATCTCAATTAGATCAAACAATTTTAAAAATATTCCGAAGATGCTGGCCACTCGATTTTGCTTGAAACAAGCGTTTAAATTATCTCGATTATCACAACTAAAATACCTATACTATACTATAGGAATTAAGAAGGTTCAAGCAAATTTGTTTAGCACAAAGACAAAAAACGTATTATTTAAGCATTTCGGAAATATTGATCTTGAAAAAGACCTCATTCAATGTAGTATTTTAATACATGAAGATATTGAATATTGTCAATCATCTGTATACATACTCGGTTTGAGAAGATCAGATGAGCAACCACAATTTGGACAAATTGTTTTTATTTTAAAGACAAAAGAGAAATGGTGGCTTCTTATAGATATGTTGCAAACCATCAGTTATAATGAAGAATTATTTGCCTGGCAAATACAGTCAACAGATTGTTTTTCCATTATTGATCCATATGAATTAAAATATCATCACAAGGGGCTAGATGTTTATACAGTGAATCAATTGAGTATTGTTTGTTATAACAGTCGTCTTACATTGTATCAATAAACGTCAAATGACGATATTTTAAATATGGTTTTCTTTTGATAAAAATCTTGAAATAGTCTGTCCAAAGTTGATATAAACTGTGTTCTCGCAGAAAAGATCTTTCTTTAGTCTGTATTACACGCTAGTAACATACGAAATAACGAATAACTCGTCATGATAGGAACTTGACTTTTCCAAATGGATTGTTTTAAAGATTGAAAAATTTGCAATATTACATCATTCTATAAACGCTTGCTTTTTTTTCATTTATACATTTTAGAATACGATGTTGATGGTCCAACGCTCAAGTTGATGGATAGCATCGAGAAGATAACAATTGTAATACCAAAATTTAAACACCAACTTCTCTTTTTAAAAGAACGTGAAAAATTATTCAATAAAATCAGTAATAATTTGATTCAATCCATTGATTCAACATCAGCATCTTCAACAAATCTGAATGTATCTTCTTCTTCTTCTACTACTACTACTACTTCGGAATCAAGAACATTAGATGTTTCGGAAGAATCAATGAATAACAGTACATCTGCATCTAATGAATCATTTATTGCAAGAGAGCTGAACGCATCATTTCCTGATAAATATGTAATTCCACCTATGCCGAATGCTTTACTGAAAGACATACAAGACGGTGCATTAAATAAGTTTGGTCCACATTGTTCCAACCGTCAAATTTTAATTGAATCCATTGCTCATGATTTGATTTCTAAGCATGGAATGTTGTAACTTGAAGTTTAACATTTAGAATAAGGTCACTTTGAGATATTAAAAAGTTTGTTTTTATTTTTCAATGTTCTCAATATTAACTCGTCATGTAAATGACTTGTTGTTCTTAATATTATCTGCGGTTAATAGTACTTAACTTTCTGTTCTTGATAATAATTTCTTTTGTGTAGACTTTTACCATACGTTTCTGTTCATTTTCTTATAATGAATGCTCAAAATTCAATTTTGCACATTCATTTCATAAAAAATTTTATTTTATGAAGAGACATTTGCCGTATTCTTTGTACTGATACAAGTACAAGCGAATTTTACTCATATATAGAGGTGCTGAAATAAATAAGATTCGTCTTATTAAGGCATTTAGAAATTTGTGCAACAAAAAGCACGAACAATGATGACTATTAATGCACTTCGGTATTCATAACTTTGTCAGAAATGAAGCAGTCAGTATGTGTCTGACATCTGTTGAACACACACTTTTATTAATAACTTAATTATTTTTGATCATTTACACTATTAATTGATGCTTTTGTTTAGATATCCTACTCACAAACAATTTCAAATAATTGGTGAAGCCATTGTTGAATACTTGAAGTTACCAATGATGAAACAAAATATAGTAAGTTCCTATTTGTCAACTGTAATGCGTAATTCAATGGATTATCAATGAGCAATGATGATAATTTTTTATTCAATTTTCAGTTTTCTCTGAGCAGTCATTGATAAAATTGGTGTAGAGAATCAATAAGATTGTGCGTGTCACGTGAAAACTATTTAGATATATATGTATATATAGTAAGACAGGACATGATATAAAACATCGCTACGTGGATAAATATTTTCAACATATGAAAGTATTTGCAAATAACCTCGGGACAGCTTTAAGTAAAAGTACTAGTTAGCCGTGTGAAACTACAGCTGAGCTAGCATCTTTTAAAAACAAGATTGATTTCATAGAGAGAAGAATGACTGTCATTGCATTCAGTCATTTGAAAATAAATTTCATTTGTTTCAATTCTTTTCAAGAGGATTCAATGAAATCAATCGTCATTCTATTGAGTCTAACTCTGTGAAATCTGCATGTTCTAAATGCGTGGTATCAAAGTCAGAGAAACATTTGGAAAGAGACATTCATACTATCGGTTAAAAATAAAACTGAAACTCCAGCAAATTAAAAAAGATAAGTTATGTACAAATGAGTACTGTAAGCATGAAAATACAACAAAGATAAAGTTTTATGCTTATCTAAGTTGCATATATGAGTATTCCTATTGATGTATTCATAACCTCAGGATCAAAAGATAAGATAAGTTTTTTTTAATTCGAAGAATTAAAAGATATCTTCAGCAATAGAATTCCATATTTATTTCTATTTTACATGAAATATCAATAGTGCTGAACCGGTAATAATAGATACACTTTTTTCTAATGTAGGCTGTTTGGAAAGATGCTCTTCAAACAAAGTTGAAGAGAAAACGATTAGAACATCGAGATCATGTCGACGTTCAAAATTATCAGCTAAAGTATTCACGTATTGGTTCTGGTCGTCCAGTTAAAAGAAGAATCGGGGAGTTATGTCAGAAAGATCGACAAAAACAAGTAAATTTTTATGTTTTTGTTTTTTTTTCTTTTTGTTTTTATCTTCTGTTTTAGATAATGTTATCAACATATGATGATGCTGCACTTCAAGTTATTCAAACTAAAGCCGACCAGCTAAAAGATACATCTCAAATTGATCTAAATACTCAAATTAATCTATGGCGCGATACGGTACATGTTCGTCGACAACATATTCGTGATAAGCCGACATCAGAAATTATGAAAGAATTTCCAGGTTATTCGAATCCGATTTTGGTAACACGTTATTTCTCTCAGGTCGTTTTTTTCTCAATAGAAGATCGATTTCTATTACAGATATTTGAAGAAATTAAAATGACACATAATATTGACCTCAGTTTTGTAATTAGGCAACAGATTCCAATATTACTTGATAAAATGATCGAAGCTCCTGCTTTTATAACAGGTAATCTTATATTTTAATATATACATGAGATAATAAATAATGTCTCATTTTAGATTCACCAGCTATTCGGTTGATCAAGGTTTTTTGTCGTTATTTCGATGAGACTATTCATCATACATTTTCTAATACTGTAAGTCATGTTTCATTGTTTTATACAATATTGTTGTCAGTGACGAATACGCCTCCAGAAAATTCTGCAAATGAAGTTGATCTATGTCTCAGAAAACAGGAATTGAATTATGAGAAAACGTGTCTACGCGAGTTTTTTTATGTAGTTGTCCTAGTTGGAAAACATACCACAGACACAGCAACGTTTTCATTCGACACTTAGGACTGGAACAATTTCAGCTAAGATCATCAAAGATCCCTGTGCTTTATCAATGAGGAATTCAATAGAGTAAAGTTACATATTTCTTTTCCAACAACTATCTTAGTTGCGTTATAAAAGAAAAACTACAAGCAACTTGAATTTGAAATTTTCAAGATCTTTTTATTATGAAGCCGTAAACTAGACAAGATTAGTCTATTCATATCAAATTCTGTTATTGGTTGAGAAATATATCAATTCTATATGCTTTATTTGTTTTTTTAGGAACCATCAACACCATATCCAACTTTAATTGCAATCAATGATCAAATACATATTTACGTCGACTTTATTCCAATTGTATCAACCACATCACCAGATGATGCTCTTGGTCTTCTTATTGCGATGTACAACATATTCGAATTAAATTTTAACAAAAATAGTCGTGCTATACGATTTTTATACTCAATTCTTCATGGTGATAAACGTTTTCTTTCGAACGGAATGCGGTTATTAATAAAGGACAAGGGTATTGACATTTTCAATAAAACAAGTCAACAACACGCAACATCTTCAAATTCTGATGGTAACAATTCAACAACAACAAGCAGTAGCCCACCAAACTCAAGTAATAATAATAGCAACACAGAAAGTATTCCTGTTGTTGAAAATAAATCCAATTTTGTTAGTCCAATGAATACAAGTTCGTCTGATGCCGATGTTGATTCAACGTCAAATGGGTCTGTTACAACAAAACAGTGAGCTTAAAATTCTTTATTATTTCACTTCATAGATCATAATTTTCTTTTAAAATAGATCAAAGAAAGATATTCCTGAAACTTCTACATTTTTCAATGATTCTCACAATCAAAAAACAAATTCTCACAAACGAACACAACGACGAGATATTGTAACACAAGAGAATCATAAAAGGTCCATAATTGATGATGATCAAGATGAAGAATGTAAAGAAAATATTGTTCTATCCAATAATACAAACTCAAACGTTATTCAAAAGCAAAACAAACGAAAACGTCGATGTTAACATATTTTCTAAAAGCACAATATTAAGACTTTTCTTCCTTTTCTTTTATTGTTTTATTACTATTACAGAAACTGAAAGTGTTTTTTTTAAAGTTTATCGAAAGAGCATTCAAGGATAAGTGTTTTTAAGGATATTTTTTTGTCATATTATCATCTGAAATGAGTCACATGTTCTAAGCTAGCAATTCATTAAACGTCAAGTTATTTATTTCTTCTATGAGACATGAATTCATTGATCATAGCAGACTTAAGTAACTTGGTGTTTTATGGCTTGCACGTTTAGAACATGTGACCTGTTTCAGGTGATAATATTGAGCAAAAAAATTTCACCAACATTTATCCTTTTTTTGTTATTATTTTTAAATGCTAAACAACAATATATGATAAAACATCGAGCAATGATAGTCAAATATTATTTTCTTGTAACGACAGCGCGACTCACCCATATAATTTAATCACATTAAGTTATATTTATTTATCGTCTCCAAGTATTTTTTGTATACGATTCAGTCATCAAAAGAAATTTGAAATAGTTGATAGAAAGATTATTTTATAAACTACAACCACTTCTTTCAATCTTCATTAGAACATGTATTAGCTGCATCTTTTCGATGAATAAACTTTGATTTATCCACCTAACACATTCAAACTGAGGTGACATAAATTGCATCAGTGAACTATTTCTATAAGTTTCACAAAAAAAAATGTGTCAAACATCTTCTTTTAGGTACTTATATTTATTATTAACTTCGTCAAAACAATAACGAGCACAATAGATGGTTAGTATAAGGTAAAACATGACAACAACATGAAATTATACCATACGAGAAGTAACACATTTCATATTTCTTACACGTATCACCCTCTTTTATAATATATGGTAACTGAGCTTAGGCTCTTGTTCTTGTTACTTCTTGATGTTATTCATCACAAACATATGTCTAGCACTATTTCTAGATCAAAAAAGAGATTTGACGCTGACATTATGTTAAATATACTTATCCATTATCAGCTAACAAAAATCATGCAGCTTACCCTTCCATTCAAATTCTCACCTTCATTCGCATTGAATCACATGACTACATAACTACATTGAAAGCGTAGATAAGAATTTTTTTCAAATATCACCTTTGAGTGTGCAATGTCTTCACTCACAATACTTTATAATTGCTAAATTTCAAACTTGAAGCAGCTGTACACTTTAGGGAACACCGTTTCCATGAACAAGCTACTCAAACGTTACACGTCGATAGTGACACACCAACGTACTACCACGAAAAAATACATACTTTTTTCATATTTTCATTCCATATCTTCCTTTGATCATTAACACCATCATTTAAACATGAAAACTAAGACAAAATGTAGATCAGTACAAACTGCTTTATTTTTTTCTCATCGTCTATTTATTTCACATCTTTCGTTTCCATACAATTCCAAAATGCTTTTAATAATCAAATTGAGACATGAAATCAATATGTCGTTACAAATACAACGAAATGATTCACTTCGATTTTCATTTTATATCTTCTTTTTCATAACTTTCAAAGACGTGTGCATAATCAAATGAAGATACCAAATCAAAATCTAAATAAATCATCTTCTTGTGATGTATTCATTTTATGACTTAATATGATTATTAGCATCATGTTTGACACCCTCTGAAAACCAACAGATGAAACAAAAATTTCGTCACAAAAACAATGAGATAATTTACTTAGATTTTCATTTCATCTCTTCATTTGATTATCAACATAGCATTGAAAGTTCTCAAAACAAAAACATGAAATAAATATACTGTCACAAAAGGATTGAAACAATTTGCTCAAATTTTCGTTTCATATATTAATGGAATTCTTAATTCATTTAAAGTACGGTTTACTGCATACAAAATAAATCATATTTTTCATTTTCTTTTTTTTCATCATTTAGATTGAATTAACTGATTTAAATCGAAATATAACAATATCAAGAACAATAAGCAAAACCTATTGAACTGTATCAATTTATAATTGGTTCATTAAAAAAATATACAAAATATTCCGTACGAATTAATTGTGCAACTAAAATTGGTAATGGACCATGGTCATCATCGTTAATTACTGTTCAAACACTTGAAGATGGTATGAATTATTATACATAATATTGTTCTCATAGTTTTATTTTGCATTTTCTTTTCAGTTCCTGATCAAGTAGAAAATTTAACATTTTGAAATGTTTATGATACATCATTGGATGCAAGTTGGCAACAATCAATTGAAATCAATGGTCATTTAATTAGTTATGAACTTGAATGATATCCAATCAATAATACTAGTACATAATTAAATTCTGATGATCGTTCAAGAATTGAAATCGAACCAAAAGTTAGAACATATAAAATAAATAATTTAATAGCAACAACATGGTATGTTATAAGTGTTCGTGCCAAAACACGTAAAGGTTTTGGTTTAAAATGTTCGGCATCAATTGAATCGGGTTATCCACTTGAAATGCCATCGCCACCAACAAATCTTGAAATTATTTCTATTGATAAACGATCTGCACTTATACCGTTGATATTAACAGCTGACATTCGTATACGATATAATCGATTAGAATATAAATCACGAAGAATTAATTTTGATTGTTCAATATGAAATGACTAAAAAAATTAAAATTTTCCAAAAACAA